TTAACAACTGATGCTGACAAAACCCAACAATACCTTTACAAAACAGAAACAAGATCCACATTACACACTACTCACAAAAATCATCTTAAGGTAGACCTAGGGGTAAAATCATAAAGTATAAAGACTATGAGAGGAAAATAGGAACAAAACTGAAACTTCTAATCTATGGCAATTATAATTATGTCAATTATTTAATCTTGCTTAGATTCCTTGGCACCAGCAGCCAAGAAATCAGAAGGTAGGCTGTATTGGGAAAATCTGCTGTCAAGAATCTCTCTAAAGTGTTAAGGAGCAATGATGTCAGCTTAAAGACTAAGGTATACCTTATCCAAGCCATGATCCTCTCAATTACTTGTTATGAATTTGGAAGTTGAACAGTGAATAAGGATGACAGAAGAGTTGATGCTTTTGAACTGTGGTATTGGAGAAGAGTACTGAATATTCCAAGGACTGCCCCTTCAAAAAAAAAAATTAGTATATCTTAGAGAAGGTACAACAAGGTTACTCCTTAAAAGCAGTGATCGATCATAAAGCTTCATCTTTTTTTTTTTATCTGACTGATACAGGAGGAGATTGCCCCTCCTCCAGGAGGGCATCTGGTGGATTTGAACCATGTACCTGTGGGATTGTAGTGCAGCTTCCTGCCACGAGGCCATCAGAGCTCCCTTGCAAAGCTTCATCTTACACGTTACATCTTTGGGCATGTTGTTAGAAGGGGTCACCCCTTGTGAAAAGGCTATATCAGGTTTGGAAAAGTGGAGGGTCAGTAGTAAAGGAAGACTTAACAAGATGAATTGACAAGGTGACTGTAACGATGTCCTCCTCAAGTATGACAGAGATGATGTGTTAGGTCTTCCAAGACATATCTGTTTCTTTGATATGTCTTTGATAGTAAGGCCAAGGACTCAAGGAAGGGACCAGAGAAAGAAAGGAAGATAAAGAAGCTTTATTAAGGTGTCTCCCAGGCGGGATTCCTTGGTCTGCAGAGATAGAAACAGGTAGAGGGACAGACCAGAAGTCCAGGCTGGGTTTAGAAGGGGTCGTGGTACTAGGGATATTGTAGCTGAT